GACAGAGCAAGACACTGTCTCAAAAAAAAAAAAAAAAGAAAAGAAAAGAAAAGAAAACCAGTAACTCTCCCTGGGACCTATCCAACCCCAACTAATGTAAAGTGGTCTGAGATGGGCAGCAGGGTTCCCCAGGGCTCAGGAACACTATCCTAGGCCCTGCTGCCTCCTGGACAAAGAATCGATTGAAATAAGCAAGCTTCCCCAGCTGACATCCACGGTCGGCCTTACTGCCTGTTTTAGGAGTATCTTTAGAACCGTGAGATTGGAGTTGTATTTTAAAAAAATTTTTTATATTAAAAGTTAACCCCAAAAGTGATCCTATTAAGGTAAGTATCAGTATCGTATTTCCATTTCACAGACAAGGAGACTGAAACTAACAAGGCTCAAGAACTTGTCCTCAGTCACAAAGGAACTGACACTAGATTCCAGGTGGCTTTTGCACCCTAAAGAGCTCCAACAAAAGTGAGAAAGCATTTCAAGTGGGTGAGCAGAGATGCTCCATGAGGGAAGTGACACCTGAGCAGAGATAAGGCACGGGACAAGGAAGGGCAAACGTGCAGAGTGAAAGGCATGAGCCATATCAGACGCAAGGCGCCCCAAGGAATGCTCTCAGGACCAGAAGTCGACAGGTGTGATAAAGCTATGGTGCCCTCGAGGTAGAGCTGTCAGAGAGACTCACGGGGACGCTCGCGCCTGGATGTACAGGCACATGAATGTCAAGCCTCACCGCTGTCCCTGGCCTCCACAGGACTTCTCCTCAAACAGAAACCCCCGCCCACGAAGGACGCAAGGTTGTGTTTCTGACTTGAACTGGTCATGCAGGATAAAGAGTGAAGCAGGCCGGGCGCGGTGGCTCAAGCCTGTAATCCCAGCACTTTGGGAGGCCGAGACGGGCGGATCATGAGGTCAGGAGATCGAGACCATCCTGGCTAATACGGTGAAACCCCGTCTCTACTAAAAAATACAAAAACCTAGCCGGGCGAAGTGGCGGGTGCCTGTAGTCCCAGCTACTCGGGAGGCTGAGGCAGGAGAATGGCGTGAACCCGAGAGGAGGAGCTTGCAGTGAGCTGAGATCCGGCCACTGCACTCCAGCCTGGGTGACAGAGCAAGACTCCGTCTCAAAAAAAAAAAAAAAAAAAAAAGTGAAGCAGCTTCCACAGTTCAGCTCTGCACCCACACTGCTGCGCCCATTAGGACGGACTGAGGAGGGACACAATTTCAGTCGACAGCACCATATCCTACATTACACAGCAACAGAGCAATGGAGTTAAAAGCAAGGCTTTAGAGTCAAAGAAACCGGGTGTGAATCCTGACTCCACCTTTACTAGCTACATGACCCTGGGCAATTTATTAAACTTCTTTGAGGCTGCTTCCTCCTTTATAAAATAGGGATAAAAATATATTCCTCATAGAGTTGTTGTGAGCAACAAAAAAGAAAGAAATAGGTAATGTGCTTAACAGCGTCTGGTAAAAAAGCAAGTTCACAACAAATAGCAGCTATGCTTTCATTCATTCAATGTATTTACAGAGCTTTTGCTTTTATCAACCAAACAAGGCTAGAGAAGCTCATACAATACAGCACAGGCCTTTAACATGCCTTCAGAAGGCTGCCTACTAAACCCTTTATGAACGCCCAAATTTGCAAATGCCACACAGGGAACACTTCTGCATTCATGGATTTATATTAGAGTAGAACAATAAATAAGAACATAGACTCACTAAAAAAGTAGTAATTTTTCCTTTTATGTATAAATTGCTTTAGAAAACTGTGGCAGATTACTATATATGATAACTCGGGGTGAGTTCTAGGGAGCAAAATATCCCAACAAAACACAAAGATCAAATCAAATCACAAGTCCAACGGTAAGGGCAGGTTTAAAACTCAGGGCAGGATTAGTTTAGCTTTCTCTGACAACAGGATGTTATTGAGTGGTTTATATATATCAGATATTCAGACTATCAACAGATTCAGAATTTTTTCTTTTTTTAAGACAGTCTTGCTCTGTTGCCCAGGCTGGAGTGCAATGGTGCAATCTCGGATCACTGCAACCTCCGGCTCCCGGGTTCAAGCAATTCTTGCGCCTCAGCCTCCCGAGTAGCTGGGATTACAAGCGCCTGCCACCACGCCAGGCTAATTTTTGTTTATTTTTAGTAGAGACGGGGCTTCACCATGTTGGCCAGGTTGGTCTCAAACTCCTGACCTCAAGAGATCCATCTGCCTTGGCCTCCCAAAGTGCTGGGATTACAGGCATGAGATACCACACCTGGCCAACAGATTCGGATTATCAATAAAAGTGTTAATAGCTTTTCCCCACCAATCTCAAAATTGCTCTAACTCCCCGAAAAGGAAGTCTCACTGTGATACACTTTCACTACATTTAAATGCAAACAAAAGTTAACACCTCGATGATAAAAGCAGAAAATGAGTGAGGGTCCTTAGAAGCACAGGTCTAAATCTCAGCTCTGCCACTAACTGGTAACTTTTTCTGGGCCCCCTCAGAAAAGACAATCTCTTTATTCTCCAGCTCTAACATCTGAGCCAGCTGACAGCATCTGAACTTTAAACAGGTGGCCTCAGAAATGGAGACTTCACAGGTCCCTTCTCACAGGAGTGTTTGGATAGGGAGTGGACATGCAAGGCAAGGCAGAAGCATGAGGCTATGGTAGGGAAAAGTCGCTCTCTGGGGATATGTGGACAAATTTCCCCGAAAACACCCCATACCTTTCTTCATCATGTCTCGGTCCAAGGCTACATTTCTTTGGGCAAGATTTACTTCCGATCGAAAATGGAAGCGCTTGGCTCGCTGCTCTTTCTTTTCAATTGCTTCCTAGAAAGTACAGAAAAAGTGAAAGTAGTAAAACATGGAGAAGGCAAATTAAATCACGAATGCATCAGTGACAAACCTGAAATAAACAAGAAGAAATAAGCAACACTACACCTTGAAAAACTGTTGCAGAGACCTGGACAGTCACACTCAATGCCTGGGAGGGAGTATGTTAATATTGCTGCAATTTGCAAGCATCTCCAACCTAACACAGCCTGTCACTGTGCCTGGGACATAGTAAGAACTCAATAAGCATTTGCTGAGTGAATGAACAGTCCTTTACAGTTTATGAAGCTATATGACACTTCATTTGTTATTATCGACGATGCTAACAAATTACAACTAAACAATTTCAACATCCCCATTTTCCAGGGGCAGAAATGGAGGCACAAAAAAGCAAAAAGGTTTGCTGGAGATACTTCAGCTAGTAAGCGAGTAGATCTGATTCCAGTGCTATTTCTAGGAGCCCACCTACAACCATTTCACATTGTCTGCGGGCAACGGCAGTCACACCTGTCATGCTCTTCCACATCGTATCTGCCTGAGCAGTCCACTCCCTAAAGCTAGTCTGTTCAAAAACAACACGGAAGCAAAGAAACTCTCTCCCCTTCCAGCCTTGTGGCCATGGAATCACCAGTTTTCATCTTTAAGTGGTAAGAACCATTGACACTTCACTGAAAAAATAATCAGCTTTGTAAGTTTCTTCTAAGAGTTAAAATAAACCCAGGTCCAAAGGTGGGTTTCCGATGGCTCTTAGGAACCCTTCACTAACTGGTTTTGTTTGTTTGTTTTTTGTTTTTGAGACGGAGTCTCACTCTGTCGCCAGCCTAGAGTGTAGTGGCGCGATCTCCAACTCCCGGGTTCGAGAGATTCTCCTGCCTCAGCCTCCTGAGTAGCTGTGACTACAGGCGCCCGCCACCACACACAGCTAATTTTTGTATTTTTAGTAGAGACAGGGTTTCGCCATGTTGGCCAGGATAGTCTCCATCTCTTGACTTCATGATCTGCCTGCCTCAGCCTCCCAAAGTGTTGGGATAACAGATGTGAGCCACGGTGCCCAGGCCCCTTCATTAATTGTATATTGACTTTACCACACTATTTGGAGGTCTGACTATACAGAGCTTGTGGGGATTGGTAAAATTGTAACACTTCTGTTATTTCCCAATAGCTATGCTCATTTTCTTCACTGAAGTCTTCCTAGTACAAACAACAATTTACTTCCTTTAGAAACAAAGTACTAACTCTGAGACTACCACCCTTTTCCCATATACCTGTTTCATATAATGGCAAATGGTGTAAGATTAAGAATAGTTTACTTTTTAAATTACAGTAAGAAAATATTTTCACTTTATTCTCTTTTCTTGTCTAAAAGATGACCAATTCTCTTTCTTGTTTTTTGTTTTGTTTTGTTTTTGGCCTTTAAGTAATCGGAAACACACAGAGACACAGATAAACCATAAAAACGTTAGCTGGGCATGATGGCATCCACCTGTAGTCCCAACTACCTGGGAGGCTGAGGCAGAAGGATCAATTGAATCCAGGAGGCAGAGGTTGCAGTAAGCCGAGATCGCACCCCTGAACTCCAGCCTGGGTGACAGAGTGAGACTCTGCCTCAAAACAAAAACAAAAACAAACAAACAACAAAAAAAAAAACAAAAAAAGCATTATAAAAAGGTAGGCATGAAATATATTTTTATTTTTGCTTTTATGTATTCAATACAGCAATATATATTATTCAGAAATGTAATACAAAATTCTGTTCCAAACTTAACGTTACACATTAAAATCAGAAAAAAGGTCTAAAATAGAACATCACTGATTAAAGCAACTTACATGTATTGACTACATATAAGGAAAATAATAGGCTTGACTCTATGAGATGTTACAATGAAGGTGGTAATCTGGTAATAGCAATCATTAGATACAAGGCAATAGTCTTAAGTACTGAGAATAATTCACTTGACTTGGGCTTCAGACTTTAAACAGCCAGGCAATCAGGAAGTCCTCTTTTTCTGGGTCTACAGCTAATGAGGAATAAAGATTGTTAAGGGCCTACTATGCTGGGCGCGGTGGCTCACGCCTGGAATCCCAGCACTTCAGGAGGCTGAGGCAGGTGGATCACCTGAGGTCAGGAATTCGAGACCAGCCTGACCAATATAGTGAAACCCCATCTCTACTAAAATTACAAAAATTAGCCAGGCATGGTGGTGTGCTCCTGTAGTCCCAGCGACTCAGGAGGCTGAGGCAGGAGAATCGCTGGAACCCAGGAAGGGGGAGGTTGCAGTGAGCCTAGATCGTACCACTGTACTCCAGCCTGGGCAACAGAGCGAGACTCCATCTGAAAAAAAAAGAAAAAGAAAAAAGGGGGGGTGCCTACTATGTGCCAGGCACTTTTCATATTTTGTTTCATTTCAAGTGGAAACAGTACATATTTTTTTTTAGAAATGGACATACCATTTAAAAAAGCATTCCCAAACCTGGACATTTTCTTAGAAATGGTTCAACACAGTTATCTAGGTAGAGTGATTTTATCTTTTCATGGCTGTAAGAACACACAAATGCTGCCTGCACCGTTTCAGGATGCATGAAGACATCGTTGTATAACACAAAATTTTTTTTTGTTGTCCATGCTGGAATGCAGTCACATGATTTCAGCTCACTGCAGCCTCAACCTGGCAGGCTCAAGTGATCCTCCCACCTCAGCCTCCCGAGTAGCTCGGACTACAGACCTGCACTACCACACCCAGCTAATTTCTGTATCTTTTGTAGAGACAGGTCTCACTATGTTGCCCAGGCTGGTCTCGAACTCCTGGTCTTAAATGACCTACTTGCTGGGCCTCTCAAAGTGCCAGGATGACAGGCATGAGCCAGTGTGCCCGGCCAATAACACCATTTTTTTATAGAAAGAAAATTTAAATCCAGCAACAAAAGAAAAGAGGAAATATTTACTGTTAAGTCCTAGGGATCAAGTTCATTAAGTTCACTTGCTTATCAAGCGAATAAATAAATCATAGCCTGTCTTACCTTGGAGGTGACATCAATTCCAGTGATGAAGCTGCCAGCCTTGTTTTCGTATCTTCTGCTCGTGTCCTAACACAAAGGGGAAGGGTGAGATATTCAGACAGCAATTGAGGAAAAACCTATGATAAAAGTCGGGCTGACAGCTGGTTCTTCTTTTTTTTTTTTTTTCATTTTTATTTTTTTGTGACAGTGTCTCGCTCTGTTGACCAGGCTGGAGTGCAGTAGAATGATCACAGCTCACTGCAGCCTCGACTCCCCAGGCTCAAGCCATCCTCCCACCTCAGCTTCCCCAGTAGCTGGGCCCTCAGGTATATGCCACCACACCCAGTTCATTTTTTTTTTTTTTATTTTTGTAGAGACAGGGTCTCCCTATGTTGCCCAGGCTGGTCTCCAACTCCTGGGCTAAAGCAGTCCTCCTGCCTCAATCTCCCAAAGTGTTAGGATTACATGCATGAGCCACCACACAGAGTCTGGTTCTTTTTGTTTATCTGTTTGTGTTTTGAGATGGAGTCTTGCTCTATCACCTAGGCTGGAGTGCAGTGGTGCAAACTCAGCTCACTGCAACCGCTACCTCCCGGGTTCAAGCGATTCTCCTGTCTCAGCCTCCTGAGTAGATGGGATTACAGGCATGTGCCACCATGGCCAGCTAATTTTTGTATTTTTAGTAGAGGCGAGGTTTCACCATGTTGGCCGGCTGGTCTCAAACTCCTGACCTCAGGTGATCCGTCTGTCTCAGCCTGCCAAAGTGCTGGGATTACAGGCATGAGCCACTGCACCCGGCCAGTCTGGTTCTTTTTGAAGAGTCATTCTTTTCAAAACCCTTCCCCACCCCTGACAACCTTTTATTAAGAAGCCCCATCCCAGTGATTCCATGGTATCAATCAAGCACTCCAATAAGAAGAGCAGAGCCTGTCCAAAACCTGAAGTGATTCCATCAACTGAAAGTATCCATGTAAAGAAAAATCTAAAGGCTTTTGTGGAAAATGTCAAAAGATGAAGCACAGTCACTTAGCTCCCCAACCCAGTCTGAACGAATTCCCCATGCCCAGCCACCAGGTGGAGCCCAACCCTCCACCTCAATGCAGAAGGTCCAGCCTCACCTAGAATTCCTGAGGCAAATACAGCACAGTGCAATGCAAAGGGGATGGGATTTGGAAACCAAGCGAGGACGGAAGCCTCAGCTCTGACGGTCACTAATTATAGGACACTGTATAGTTTCCTTGACCTCTCTGGGTCCCAGTTTCCTGCGTGGTATCTACCTGCCTTCCTGACCTCTTTTACTGCCCTTCCATTAGTGCTACAGAACTTTGCAACGATCCTGGACCCACCCCAGACCCTCTGTGCTTGCTATTGCCCCTGCTGGGGGAACCCCTTTTCAGTCTTCACAAGGTTGGCTCCTTTTTGTCATTGAGAGTTTATATGGAGCATATACACTCCAGCAGGGAGGTTGATCTTGATCAAGCACCTAGGGCTGTGTCTTGGTACATAGTGGGGGATGCAATAAATACATGTTGGCCAGGCACGGTGGCTCATGCCTGTAATCCCAGCACTCTGGGAGGCAGAGGGGGGAGGATCACCTGAGGTCAGGAGCTCGAGACCAGCCCGGCCAACATGAAGAAATCCTGTCTCTACTAAAAATACAAGATTAGCCGGACATGGTGGCACACCCCCGTAATTTCAGCTACTTGGGAGGCTGAGGCAGGAGAATCACTTGAACCCAGGAGGTGGAGGTTGTGGTAAACCGAGATCGCACCATTGGGCTCAGCTACTCAGGAGGCTGAGGCAGGGGAATCGCTTGAACCAGGGAGGCAGAGGCTGCGGTGAGCTGAGATTGTGCCATTGCGCTCCAGCCTGGGTAACAAGAGCGAAACTCCGTCTCAAAACAAAACAAAAACCATGTTGAACTGAATGACTGAAAGGATGATAACACCTACTTCACAACTGCAGTGATACTTATTTTGGTTTTGTTTTGTTTTTGAGATGGGGAGAGGCGAAAGGAGGGACCTCGAAGAGGTGTTGCTGTATTACTGAGGTTGGTCTGGAACTTAGACTCCTGAACAGCTGGCACTAAAGGTGTGCATGGCCAGTATACTTAAGTGACAATGTAGTGAATGGTAAATGCTAATATATTAGCTGTTGTTAATCATAATCAATAACGTTTGCCATCTCTAGCGATCATACCTTAACCTTTCTCCATAACTTCAGTCTAAATATGTTGACATGTGGTGAAAAGTAGTTCATATTAAGTTAGAAATTAAGAGGAGTCATCCAGGCCTCAAATCAGCTCTAAGAACTGGATCTACAGCCACCAAGTCACAAGCAAAACACCTCACCATCCCCAGCGCGGTAAATGAGGGATCAAGGGCGTCTATTGATCGTTTGCTAGTTTACTTTCATTAAGAGTGAGATGCTGGGGCCACGGTGTAGGTGCCAGTGGAGCTGCGGCGGGGGGTTGGGGGCGGGTGGCGCAAGATGACCCTGAAGTCACGACAGAAACAGTGAGTTTCTGCTGCTGACAAGTGCAGCCCTCCCAAGAGAAAGAGCGAGTGCCATGTTTCACAGATACAAATTCCTCCGGGGCAAGACCCACAGGAGAGACCTGGTTGCTGGCGCCACCCAACAGCTCCTTCTGGGCTGCTCCCGGTTCTGTTCCCGCCCAGGGCTCCCCCTTTATCTCAGCCCTCCAGATACTCCTCACTCACCCCTTTGCACAGCACGGCTCAGAGGGGGCAGCGGAGGGGGGTCCTCAACTCTCTCCCAGCTCTCCGCCACCCCCTCCAGCCCCCTCAACACCCATTTCCGGCGCACCGGCGTCCTTTCTCCCGCT